TAGGTGAGGAGCGCCATGCTTTCTCCCTTGATTTGTGGGATTTAACCACTGATGTAATTGTTCCCATACTCCAAGTGGGCAGTTGATAGTGAGCTGGCGAGTCTGCAGCTTGGATCTGCAAGCGAGCTTGGGACTGCAGGCAGACTTGGGTCTGTAGGCGAGCTTGCAGGCGAGCTGAGTCTGCAGGCGAGCTTGGGACTGCAGGCAGACTTGGGTCTGCAGGCGAGCTTGCAGGCGAGCTGGGTCTGCAGGCGAGCTCAGGTGCGCAGGCAGACTTGGGAGACTTGGGTCTGTAGGCGAGCTGGGTCTGCAGGCGAGCTCGAGTGTGCAGGCGAGCTTGTGACTGCAGGAAAACTTGGGTCTGCAGGCAAGCTTGCAGGCGAACTGGGTCTGCAGGCGAGCTCAGGTGTGTAGGCAGACTTGGGTCTTGATCGTGCAGGCGAAATTCGAGCTGCAGGCGAGCTCCTGAGCATGGATCGAAGAATAGGCCGTAACTTTCAAACCGTAAGTCGGAATTGGACGAATTATATACAAAAATCGCCTATCTCGACGAGACGGAGCCATCCAAACTGGCTTCGGTTCGCTTCCTCCGTTTCGCCAAATTCCTTACGGTTTGGGAGATATCTGCGTTTTCCCCTTTTATTAATGTTTTTCCCCTTTTTGCTATTTCGGACGAGGTTTTAGCAGTTTTGTTCTGAACTTCTCTGATAAGGATTTAAAGGCAGTTTTTATTACCTACAAACCGGTCGTTGATGGTGGACAACCAATCGTCGATGGAGATCATGCAGAGTCGGTGGTGGAATGGAGGATCCCCGATGAGGAAGGAGGATGAGGAAGGGGAAGGAGGATGGGGAAGGGGAAGGAGGATGAGGAAGAAGAAGGAGGCGAGGAAGAGGGTCGCTAGTGGATCCAATGCAGAGTCAGCGACGGACTGGAGGATCGACGGGGAGGAAGGATGATGAGGGAGGAGGGGATGAGGAAGGAGAAGGAGAAGAGGATGATGAAGGAGAAGGAGAAGAGGGTTAAAATTGGGTTTTTAGGTCAAATATGGGTTAATCATGAGCTAGAGCTGAACCACATTTTTTTCAAATTTTGGAGACTGCAGCACATTGCAAAAAGTATGAGGTGCTGGAGCACATTGAGTTTTGAAACTTGCGGCCTTGACACAGTTTTTTTAAGAGTCTTGCATACACTATTCAGAGGAAAATCAAACCAGATATTATTGTTAACTATAGTATGGAACAATTATGCATAGATTGCAAGCTTTAACATAAAATGGATAAAAAGACACTATATAGAAAATAGCAAATGACACAGATGTGTATGTCTACTTTTTTATCTCTACCACATTCTTAAAGAATCAAATCACCCAAGATAAGGTTTTAGCATTTTTCAACTATTTTTAAAAGTCCCAATAATTTCATTTATAAATCATCCAAAACCTAAAGTTTAACTCCACGTGCAATATATTTTAAATCCTGTGACAAGGAGGTGAATGAGGGGCTGCCATATGGCAGAATTTGGGGGTTTGGAGGCCATAAGTGACACATGGCAATTTGATTCCTCCTTGTTCTAATGTGGACATCACGATGGTAACGAAAGCAGTTGGAAAAATATTTTTAAAAAAATTTAATCTGAAAAAAATATCACATCGGAAAATTTGGTAACAACTTTTTAACAACATTGTTAAAATCTAAAATATCCCTAACAAATAAAAAGGGAAACAGAACAATAAAATAATTATATTATAAGAAAATAGAGGTATAAGTATTAAATATATGTCACATGACGCCTTACATAATTACCAAAATATTCGATGTTTTCTAATAAAAATAGTTTATAGTGTATTTAGGCAAAACATCTGCAAGGTTCATACTGACAGGCCGAAAAGTTTAAAAAGGCCCACATTTATCTACTTTTATTACCCAATGCCTTAATATTGGGCTGTCTAGAAGTACCAGTTTTAGCCCCGATCTATACACTTATTGGGCCCCAACAACTTTAGTTGATGTATCTAATTGCTCTCAAATAATTCATATCATTTCACACTATACTCTCTTTAAAATTGAGAGTTTGAAAGGAGAAAAAAAAACTTTTCATAGAAAAAAATACCATTGATCTTCTAGATATCACGTTATTATTATATTATATTCTAATTAATTTTAATTAATAGATGTAAGCTTCAATTATCCTATCAAATCCTAATTAATATCTATATAAGCTCATATTTGATTTAAGCATGTTAACAATCATATCAACTTATAGATAATTGTTCAACCTCTAAACTCAGCCGCTATTTTAGAAATTACAAAATAGAAAATCTCAGAACTTACAAAATTTATTTACCAGAGAAAACATATAGGTGTCATTTGGCAAGGGGTTAAGAGAAAATGGTTAAGGAGAATGACTAACTTAGTTAACCCTTCACGACAGGTTAAAAATAATTTAAATCTGTTTGGATTTGATAATCAAGATGAAGGGTTAAGTTTTTCGTGTTTGGCAAATAAAAAGGGTTAATGAGGCTAATTACTTTAAATATCATAAAGTATACTATTTTAAAGTTGTATTTCTCATTTCTAGAGGGAGTAACATTTAATTATCTCTTTAGGCGGATTTGTTATTAACTAAATTTAACCCCTTGTAAATGGTTTGTTAACCCTTTGACTAAATTAAGCTGTTTGGATAATTAAGGAGGGGTTAAATCTGTTTAACTCTTCTCTTAACCCCTTGCCAAACGGGGGCATAAAGATTTAAAATTTAATAATCTAAAGATTTGAATTAACTAACAAGAAAAAATAGAACTCTTTATCTCTTATCAATTATTATTTATACTTTAAATTTTAAAATAAATATAATAAATAATATTATGAAATATTCTCATCTTCTAATTTGTCTTCGCAATTAAGGACAAATATTAATTCTACATGAATGACCAAGCTAGAAAATATCCAAAATCCATTGAAGTTGCACAACTGATGAAATATCCAAAAGACATGATTTGACGATTTTACAAAAACAATCAGGCTACAATATTAGGAAAAATGCCCAAAAGACTTTCACAAATTGTATATTTTGCACCGGAGCCTAAAAAAGACTTCAAATATTAAAAAATTTGCCAAAAAAAATCCTAGAATTTACAAATTATGTAGAAAAGTCATAGCATTACAAAATTTACAGAAAAATCCAAAAGAATTCATTATATTTAAAATTATTCTAATTAATAGAAATTCTTTAATATGATTTTATTGTGATCATTTTCTAATTAATCAATATATCTTTAATAAGACACAAGTTGTAGACAATTTTTCAATCTCCACGTTCAACCACTTCTCAGGAAATTATAAAATAGAAAATTTAAGAAGTTAAAAAGTTTATTTACTAGAGAAAACATATAAATATTTAAAACTTTGACTATCTAAATATTTAAATTTGGTACCTAACAAGTGAAAAAAGAACTATTTATCTTATCATTCTTCATTTCTTTATAGTTAAATTTAAAAATAGAGATAAAGGTAATATATGATATTATGAAATATTATCAACTCCTAAATTATTCATAATTAAGGAGACAAATGTTAATTATGTGATATTAATTAAGCTAGAAAATATTCAAAATCTATAGAACTTAACCAACTCGTAGAAATACACAATGAATTTTCATCATTTGAAGATTTTACAAAAAGTCAAATTATAAAATTAAAATAACAAAAAGACTTTCAAATTTTATATAGTTTGCAAAAAAACTCATATAACTTACCGAAAACCCAAAAGACTTCAAAACTTAAAAAAAATTGCAAAAAAATTCTAGAATTTACAAATTTTGTAGAAATGCCTAGATTGTATAAAATTTACAATTCTAGAATTTACAAATTTTGTAGAAATCCCTAATTTAATAAAACACTAGCAACTTAAGAAAATTCTAGAAGAAATAATCCTAAAACTTCAAAAGACCCCTGAAACTTCTTTAATTTATAAGAAGAACCATGGACCTTCATAAAATTTGGTCAGATACGGAAATCCGAATGACACCCATACGTGGTTTTCAATATTTGTTCCTTAAATCGTTATTATTTTGTTATTAATCCCTCAGATCTTCATATTTTGATATTAGTCCCTCAGCTTTCAGAAAGACGTTGGTGTTAGTCTTGGTGATTAATTGAGATTATAAACGATGATGAATATTTTGTTATGTTTAACTTTTTAAAGAAAATTAATAGTTATCCCCCACAAGCACCAACAAACTTGTCAATGATCTCAAAGCACCTACCATCATCCAAGAAGTCCGCCATCACGATTAATCTTTCACCAATTTAGAGCAGGTGTTCTCCAACTTTTTCTGTCATAGTAAAACCTTTCTTCTACTCTCATATGTAGTCCCATCATTTTCATTCACATAATCAACCACATTTTAACTCTTTATCTCCAAAGTTACTACCTCTTCTCCCACCCGACCCTGGTTACGATCGAACCATAAACCCCGAAGGCAAATCATAAATTGAATCACTTATCTGGATTGAAGTAAATTGATATATTAAAACCACAAATCCAAATCGGAGAAGAATGCCAATGCAGACACTGGTATAGGCAAACACAACTTGCACCAAATCTCTAACGCTCGAGAAAATTTGCATCAACACATGCCATTGTGATCCCTCAGGACGATAGCAAAACAAACAACCGTCATCGCATTGCACAAGTTAAGCATTTTGGAAACTCTTTCTCGGATACCTAATTATGTAAATCTAAATAAACAATTGAAATTATTTAGACCTTAGATTTATAGACATGTATATGGTAAAATTTGTTGGAATAATTATTATTTTTACTGAAAATTATTTTAAACGAATAGTTGGTTACACTATGCTTAACTGGGCCAGATGTAAATATAATCGGCTCGAGTGTCTCGGCGCCAAATACGAAATATTACTAAATTACCCTCGGTTGCTCCGTATAAATTTAAATCCGAGAACAAAATCCTTCGAACTCTTCCTTCCCCCAAAATCTCCCTCCAATTTCCCTCCATTTTCTTTCAAAACCCTAAACCTCCCCAAAACCCTAGCCAAAAGGTACCTCGATCTCGATGTCGAAATCCGAAGAAGACTCTAAACCCGCCGCCGCCGATGATCGCCGGCTCGACGAAGAGTACAAGATCTGGAAGCAGAACACGCCGTTCATGTACACCTCGTCATCACCGACGTCTCGAGTGCCCTCGATGACGGTCTCAGGCTGCCGGAGCGAGCGGAGGCTCGCCGGAAAAGACTACTCTCCACAAGCTGATCCTGGGGACCTACGCCGGTGACGAGCGTAACTATCTCATGATCGCCGAGGTCCAGCTCCCGATCGAGGACGCTGAGAGGCAAATGAGGGTCTTTGACGTCGATCACGGCGAGATCGGAGTGTTTGAAGGCGCTAGAGGCAAAAGCAAGGTATGCCGCGAAATTTAGGGTTATTGTTTGCCCTAAGAGTATTGTCTTGATTGTCGAATTCAAAGATGAGAGTCGGTACAGGGAAGGATCTTGGTTTAAGATCAGGGATTTTCTTGAAAAATTTGTGATAGAAAATTCAAGCTGTTGGTACTAGGGTTTAAGTGGCTAGGAGAATAAAATGATTTGATCAGTTAAGTTTGATCTCAACATTTTCTTGTGTTTTTAGAATTTCGATTTGAGATGATGCGAGATACAGTGTTTTGCTTTGCCCAAAGAATGTTGTCTTAATTGTGCGATTCAAAGATGGGAGTCAGCAGAGGGAAGGTTTTTGGTTTAGGATCAGAGATTTTCTTGAAAAATTTGTGATAGAAAATTCAAATTGTTAGTATAGGGTTTAAGTGGCTAGGACAAGAGCATGATTTGGTCAGTTAAGTTTGACTTCAACATTTTCTTGTGTTTTTAGAATTTCGATTTGAAATGATGTGAGATATAGGGTTTTGGTTTGCCTAAAGAATGTAGCTGAAGGGAAACGTTTAGGTCATTTTCGTAATCATTGAATTCAAGCAGGGGAGTTGGTAGAGGGGAGCTTCTTTGATGAGGTTGGAGTTTTTCTTGAAAAATTGAGCATTGTGTGCCTAATTGGGAGAGGTTTAGAGAAGTAACAGAAAGTTCAACTGGTTCTTTGCTTTATTTTTTTGTGGTTCACTGAGAAGGAAAATCATAAAACCTTATTATTGTTCAAGAGTTATTAGTATTGGCTCCAAGAAAAATATTGGTTGAGCATGTGCCTGTAATCTTACTTTATGAGAACTCGTTAACCAAGGTGTTCTATGGGAAACATGGGGAAAAAATCATAAAAAACGCAATAAATGTAGAAAATTTTAGCTTATAAAATCCATGCAAGCTGACTACTTTAATTAACAAAAAAAATTTGAAAAGAATTAATGACTAAGAGAACAATTCAAACATTAAAGGGAGAACAACAAGCAGTCAACGTCCTATTGATGTCTTGCCAAAAACCTACCACCTTCAGAGATTTCACCAAAATCTTGGGTTAAGAGAAGGGAAGGGAGCAAGTAGAATGAGGAAAGAAAGTCCTCAGAGAACGTGCAGTGTTGAGATTGAAGAGTATTGATGATTAATCAAAGGTGTAATACGTAAAGCACATTTGGTTGATGATGATTAATCAAATAGTACTGCTTGGTTTTATTTTATTTTCTTTTTCTTTTATGTTATTTATTTATTTATTGTTTGCTACTTCTTATGAGTCTCAGGATTTTAACTTCATCGATGTTGATTGATTTTTTTAATTCTTATCTTTATGTTTGTAGCTTGTTATATTATATTAATAGTGCTCCTAGGCGTTAATTTGCATGTTACGAGATCAAAACATGTAACTAAGAGAAAGTTACTAATAAAAGTTTAGAAATATACATTTGGTAGGTCTGACTACAGCATTCTGTGCTGTTCTTTTGCACAGTTGAAAGATTTATCATGAGGCACGTAAGTAGTCAGCTAACTGGCTTAGTCGTCCACTTGCAGAATAAGGTAGCATGACAAAAACTACTGTCTTCTATTTCATTTCAACTATCTTTAACACTGTTTACAAGTGGAAAATTCAGAGTAATTCATTAGTAAGTGATAGCCAATTGATGGAATGACCTGCTTTCATGATGATGGCGTTGCTGCCATCTCTAACACAAAAATTTCACTGACTTCTGGCAGGTAAAAGTAATTCAGCAGATAAAACACGAAGGAGAAGTTAATCGAGCTCGTTACATGCCTCAGAATTCTTCCCTTATTGCAACAAAGACAGTTAGTGCAGAGGTGCATGTATTTGATTACAGCAAGCATCCTTACAACCCTCCTATAAGCGGTGGTGAATGCAATCCTGATTTGAGGTTGAAGGGCCACAGCTCTGAAGGATATGGTTTATCATGGAGTCATTGATGCTCAAATATGCTTGTGGGACATTAACGCAGCACCCATTAATAAGTCTCTTTGGCCTCTTAGAAGCTTTAAGGTTGTATTCTTGAAAACACATACCAACCAACCCTGCAATCATAGGTACACTAAGGTGTAACTGTAATAATAAAAACTTAAACCATTACTAGCCATTTAGAAACTTCGATATTTTCAGGTTATTTTTAACAGTGGGATTTACTCAGTAGATATTCAGTTTCTAGTGCAACATGCAATTCATTGGCATTTCTAGCAGTCACCGGTTAGTGACGAGAAAAAAACAATCATGAACATAGTAGATAAATTCCAGTATGCTTTCTAGTGAAGAGAGCGCTCACCGATCATATGTATCTACAAGTGATTGATTAATTAATGTTTAATCTAGGCATTGCAGACCACACAAACAAAAACGTTCTGTTTAACTATTAAGTATGAGTAACAAAATGGTCATAGGCATCAATTGATGACAAGAGGAATGGAAAATTACACATGTTCCTGTTTTTACTATTCTGAATAGACTATGTTCATAAATTTTTAGCTTTATTTTAAAATTCAATGATAAAAATTTGGAGATGTTTTTCCTATTAATGTCTTTATTCTTGAGTTTGCTAAAATATTCTTGTGAAATAGGTAAATGAAGATGCTGTTGAGGATGTTGCGTGGCATTTGAGGAATGAATACTTGTTTGGCTCAGTTGGTGGTGATCAACACTTGGTCATATGGGATATTAGAGCACAAACAACTGACAAGCCGATTCAGTCTGTATTTGCTCATCGAGATGTGGTAATTGATGCCTCCCTCCTTGCTCCGCTAACAGTCATAAGAAAAATACTTTGTTTATTTGTCCATGTTTTTAACGTTTGTGGATTTTGGATTATGTTACTTCAGATATCATAGCTTTTTATTCTAAAAACAGTGATTAGTTTAAGATCATGATAAACAATGGACAGACAATATGAGACGTTAGCTGATGTTTTGGCTTAATGCTGTAGTTATTCTTTTTACGCTTCCTTGTTGTATTACGGAAATACTATAGTCGACATTAAAAGGTTACTGTAGAATTTCTCTTTCTGGTTGATGGTAAAATCAAATTGGTTAGGTTAGTCTTTCTATGAAGAAATTTTGGTTTAGTTCTACCTTGAAAAACAATTTGAATGTTTTGATTTATATCATATAGATCAGTTGATTCAACATCCATTGTGATGCAGGACAATCATTGACCCTCCATGTAATGCGATTAAGATTTATTTGAATCTTTGCTTTTTTGGTAGGATTTTATTTTATTCTATCTAATCTTTTTTCGGTTAGGGTTTCTTTAGGATTTCATTTTGAAATCTCTTTATATTTTAACTAGGATTTTATTTAATTGCATCTTTTAGTTTTGTTAGGTTTTGATTTGATTAGAATTTTTCTTTACTTAAGTGGTTAGTTGCTTTCTTTTCCTATAAATAAGAAATGTCATCCTCCATGAGATATAGACATTGATGAATAAAGAATTGAGTTTGAGAATACTCTCTTGAGCATGTGAGGTGTTCTTTGGCACGTGATTTGCCTTTTTTCTTTAGGGTCTGAAGCACCTAAGTGTGAGACCTATTTATTTATCTAAAATTTCTCCACTTTCAATCCTAGCCATCCGATCTCAACCACAAACACAAAATACTGTTCATGGATGAACAGTGTCCGTTGTAGCCTCGAGATCCAACACCATTCGCCTCCGATGATGCCACAATCCTTTGATTTCGATTGCTTACCCGAACGATGACCCCCGCTTGAGTATTACCATTTCCGAATCTCCTCTGATCGTCCCTTAATGAGTTATGATCCCTCATCGCCAAGGTCTTACAACTCGGCTCTGGAAAGTTATCGACAACTAAAAAAACTATGGTCTCCCTCTTTCAAATCACGTTCAGATTCGAGCACCCACCAAAAATCACAATATCGAGAATCTCGTGCTTTCCCATTAGATTCGGGTTGGCGGCGAAGGCAATACATTCGAGAGCCATCTACTCTCGGATCGGAGCTCCCACCCCACCCCCCTTCATATTGTGCTCTTCATACATGTTTCATGCTCTTGTTAGCTATTTTCGTTAGATTTTCATACTCACTGCGTTCTATGTATATTCTTCTTTTCTTGGGTGGGTTATGGTTTTTCTCCTCGTATTTACTTTGTCAGTTAAACATATTGTCGGTTTTGCTAAATTGTGAAGACAAAAATCATTGTTAGAATTAAATTTGATCTGCTTTAATTGAGGCTAGATTGGAATATTATCCCTCCCAAGTCTGCTAATTCTTCAGCAATCCCCGTTAACTCATTAGCCCAACTTTATGTTGAAACTTTGATCAGTCACTAAGTAGAGTAGAATTAACTTGATGGAGTTGATAAAAGCTAAACACTGTTTACAAGTTGATAGTTTGGAGACTGTGAAATGCAATTTTCACGGAAATCAGTTTGACATATAGATACATCTCACATCTAAATGTTTCGTGTTGGGAGAGGGGTTTCTATATAAAATGCGACAGTTTCAGGATTGTTTTCTACCTTTGGTGTATACCAGGGAAATTGTAGTGCGACAGGCCTTTATGTCTCTATAATTTATTGGTCTATCCCATATAGATCAGATAACAACAACTCTGGTAATAGTTAGCATTTGCAGTAGGTGAAAACTACAGCATGATGATAAGATCACAGATTGATAGGCAGCTTGAAAATTCATTTGATGCAACTTTTTCCTTTTATGTGTTTAAAGAAAATGCTAGAGGATGCTGAACCATGTCCACATAGACCAAAATAACAGTAGATGATACAACAAGGCCTTCTTAACAGCGATAATTGTGCATGAGGTGCTAATACACAAGAATAATGAATGATAATAAAATATATAAAACTATCCTTGTTAAAACTTGAGATTGAAATGTATTGTATCTTGTATCTATAAGATACAGCAGGGTTTTCTGAGATACAGCAGGGTTTTCTGAGAACAATGCAGCTTCAGCCAACAAGCAGTAGTATAAAGTTCTCATCTTCTACTGTTCAAAGTAGAAAGGAAGTTAGAAGGAAGTGTTGTGCGCAGCGGAAATTTCGGCAGAGTTTCTGGTGCATAATAAGAGAGAAAGATCAATAAGAATTCTTGTTTCTCAAAAGGAACAAGAATCTGAAGCCTAATATCTCATCAAAGTGAGATATTAGCTCTTCCTCTCGTCAGCTCTAGGACTGCGCGTCGAGGGATCCTAAAACTATTACAATGGTCACAAACACAAACAAATTAATTTTTACGTGGTTCGGCAAACTGCCTACGTCCACGGGGCAAGGGGGGAGATCTACTAATAGAGGGGGAGATACAACTAGGGTTTACAATCTCACAAACTAAACCCTCTCACAAACTCTCAGATCCCTCACGCAAATACTCTCTCAAAACAGCAAAACAAAAACACTGCACACAAAAAAAAATCTCCTCTGCACTCAGCCGAAAAAATTCACAGGCAAAAATTCAATTTCCCTACTCCGTAGCCGCAAAAAGAAATTCTTTGCACCTGCTCACTGTTTTATTTTCCGAGCCCACAAGCTGCTGCACCTTTTCACCAAGCCTTGCACCACCGAAAACCTAGAAAAACACGCTATATATAGCATCAAATGACATCGGGTGGGCCTGTCAAAATCTCGCTGCTGTTCACATGCTCCTCAACGTGATCTCGCCTCCTCACGCGTTTACGTCTTTGCTATCACTATCTCTTCACATAGAATTCGTGGCCCCCACGAATCACGTCCTTATCAATTCACGCGTTCACAATTCTTCACCTCGGTGAAGTTTTTCCAAAAACTGAGTCGACACCAACCAAACCAAATGTTTCACTTGTTGTGTCCAGTACGTCGTGAAACAATTCACGATAACGGACTCAATCTATAACAAGTCAAGAACCCAAATGAGAGTGCAAACACTCTCCAAATGTCGGTATCAACTCACCAAATCGATCTCACCCCATCATAATCCAACCCGGCTGCATCATAAAGACTGCCTACGTATCCTCTTGTCTAAGGAATCAAGCCGAACGTAGTTCACCCAAATGGCCGCGAACGACCTTAATCCACTAGAAGAGTTCGCAACCCTTCTCCAATATCATCTACTCTGCGGCTGATAGCACCTCCAATGGCCTCAAACACCTCCACCTGAGGTGAACCAATGGCCATATCCAAACTGCATCTATCAGCTGCATTTGAATCAAAACCTAACTTATCATCTGCACCCAAATCCAAATGACTTCCACGCTGTGTCACCTCAGCTGGAATCCCAACCAATGCAGAATGACCTGGAGTATGTGGGAAAATCCCCACCTAATGTGGAGTAGCATCAATCTCCACCCGCTGTGATACCTCTAAGGTCTGTCCAAAACTCTCCACCTGCTGAGAGTCAATTGGCTTCCTCATTGAAGCCTTAACCAAAGTGACACTATCAGACCTATCTTCCAATGGAGTTTTACCTCCAATCGTAACAGTTGACAACTCTTTAATAGGATGACTCAAATATGTCAAAACCTCAGTCCAGAACCTCTTCTGCAAACCATTGCTCGACCACAAACATCGATCCTCCTCCAGCAAGGTACGGTTCTCCAAATTTACCACCCTATCTCGTTGTCCCAAGATTTCCTTTCCAACGAAGTGTCTCGAAATACCGTGAGCTCGGCTCCAATACAGAAACAGGTCCATCTTATACCTCCCATTAAAATCAGAATGAAGTATCTTCACCTTTCTGTCCATCTTACACTTTTTCAAACTGTTAGAGACTACTAGGACTTTTTTCAATGGGGATTTGGTTGCAACCCAAACACGTCTAGAACAGTCACTAATAAAGAAAACCAAATGCCTATTACCTCCCAATGATGCCTCCTTAGAAGGCCCCCAAACAACCACGTGAACACCTCCAGAACGACCCTTAGCACGGTGAATAGAGGTGCCAAACTTCACCTCGGTCTTCTTGCTCACATCATGTTCACTGGACTTCAAACTACAGGTCTTCGCACCCTCTTTTAATCTATGCGAGGAATTAATACTGGAATGGCCAAGCCCCAAATGCCGCAGTCTAGTTGAATTAATAGAAGTCGCTAGTTCTCCACCTACCATTATACCTCCAGGCAAGTAATACAGGTTATTCCTCCTGACGCCCTTCATCACAATCCGAGAGTCTTCCACAATCTTGAGAACCATGTCCTCAATTTGAACATTTCGACCCTTTCCAACCAAATCTCCAATCGAGATCAAGTTTTTCCTCAAAGAAGGAACATATCTCACATCATTTAACTCTTTAACAGTCCCGTCAAATATTTTGATGCGAATTCTTCCTATCCCAAGGATCTGGCATGCACGGTTATCAGCCATGTACACCACACCACTATCCACCAGCTTCTCAAAACTGGAGAATCATTCTCTTCTAGGACACACATGATAGGTCATACCACTATCCAACATTCACTCGGATTCCTCCGAATAGCTACACGTAGGACTGATAGAAAGCGAATAAATAGAGGAGTCAGAAATATTATCATCCGATACGATATTTGTTTCTGATGATGGTTGCTTTCCTTTTTCCTTCTGCTTATTTTTTATCCATTCGTCGAGCTTTGGACAGTCTTTCTTCCAATGACCAGTCTCCTTGCACCAAGCACACTGATCTTTTCCTACTCTAGACTGTGACTTCCAATTCTTTCAGTTTGGACCCTTCCCTCTTGCAGCCAACGCCTCTGCTACCGACTCAGTCGAAGTCTCCTTATCCTTCTTCCGAAGCTGATAATTCACCAGTACAGTAGTGACCTCACTATACGAAAGAGATGCCTTCCCATTAATCAGAGTAAGGACGAAGGTCTCATATTCCTCGTCGGGCAAGGAACTCAACAATAACAACGCCTTGTCCTCATCTTCAATTATGACATCCACATTCGTCAAATCCGTAAGAAGCTTTGTGTAGGTGTTCATGTGATCTCTAATTGAGATTCCCTTCTTCAACTGGAAACGATAAAGTCTCCTCTTCAAATACAAGCGGTTCTTAACACTCTTTGTCAGATACTTGCTTTTGAGAATCTCCCAAATCTTCTTTACAGAAGTCTCATTCATCACATCATATTTTAGATCTTGAGTCAAACAAGATCTAATCACACCACACGTCGTTCTATTCATCTTTTTCCAAACATTATCTTCAATTTCATCTGGCTTGCCATCTAACTCTAATGTATCCTCCAAATTCTGCGCGTTCAACGCATCCAAAACCTCTCATCTCCATAATCCAAAATTGTTTGTGCCATTAAACTTCTCCACATCTATCTTCATAGAGTGAATATTCAAACTCTGAATGGTCTTCGCGTCAGAAGCACCATCCTCGACACCCAAAGCACATTCTTTCCCCGACATCTTTCTCAACGCACCAACGAACGAAGAATAGATCCAAAACTAAAAAGATAGAGTCTTTACCAAAAGATCCCACATTTGTCACCAAACGAAGCCCTAGACGAGCCTCCAAATTGATCTACTCCTCCAAATAGCTCAAGCGTAGCCCGAGCTCTGATACCACTTGTTGTGCGCAGCGGAAATTTCGGCAGAGTTTCTGGTGCACAATAAGAGAGAAAGATCAATAAGAATTCTTATTTCTCAAAGGGAACAAGAATCTGAAGCCTAATATCTCATCAAAGTGAGATATTAGCTTTTCCTCTCGTCAGCTCTAGGACTGCGCGTCGAGGGATCCTAAAACTATTACAATGGCCACAAACACAAACAAATCAATTTTTACGTGGTTCGGCAAACTGCCTACGTCCACGGAGCAAGGGGGGAGATCTACTAATAGAGGGAGAGATACAATTAGGGTTTACAATCTCACAAACTAAACCATCTCACAAACTCTCAGATCCCTCACGCAAATACTCTCTCAAAACAGCAAAACAAAAACACTGCACACAAAAAAAAATCTCCTCTGCACTCAGCCGAAAAAATTCACAGGCAAAAATTCAATTTCCCTATTCTCCGTAGCCGCAAAAAGAAATTCTTTGCACCTGCTCACTGTTTTATTTTCCGAGCCCACAAGCTGCTGCACCTTTTCACCAAACCTTGCACCACCGAAAACCTAGAAAAACACGTTATATATAGCATCAAATGACATCGGGTGGGCCTGTCAAAATCTCGCTGCTGTTCACGTGCTCCTCAGCGTGATCTCGCCTCCTCACGCGTTTACGTCTTTGCTATCACTATCTCTTCACACAGAATTCGTGGCCCCCACGAATCACGTCCTTATCAATTCATGCGTTCACAGGAAGGACAAAATTTCAAAGTCCCCCATGATTTGGTGGTCAATTAGAAAATTCATTGGTTGGAGATTTGGGAGTTGTATCTATAAAATGACCAATTGGATACAACTTTTTGAAAGCCAGGAATGGGAATCTATAGCACATTCTTCTCTACCACCATCCAATCATTTTAAACTTGGAATGTTTACTTTCATTTTGATGCCCTCTACAACTGATGGATGCTAAAGTAGTAGTCACTCCCATCCTCAAAAGATTTCCTTGCGCCTGTCTTTCTAATATATGTTTCTAATTTAATAGTTAAAAGATGATGTGTACTTGGATATTGTGGCACGATGCTTAAAAATTAAATCCATCATCTTTTCGCAGGTTAATTGCTTGGCATTCAATCCTGCCAATGAGTGGCTTGTAGCAACAGGTTCAGCTGATAAGACTGTTAAGTTGTTTGACCTCCGCAAACTAAGCACTTCTCTTTATGCCTTTAATTATCACAAGTAAGCAATCAACTATTTCATGTTCTCTCAACATGAGTTCACTTTAGGTTGCCGATCAGATAATGCACAAATGCTGTCATTTTATACAACCTGGTATGAATAGGGAAGAAGTTTTCCAAGTGGGATGGAGTCCAAAAAAGGAGTCGATACTAGCATCTTGCTGTGCTGGTAGGAGGATTTTAGTGTGGGATTATAGCAGGTACATACTCAAATATTTACTTAGGAGACATTAGCATGCTATGATATGATTTGTTTGAAGTTGCTTCCTGATTAATATTTGGTGTTGTCTGTTCATAAATAAATTAAAGGTTCTTTTTACATAGGAGAGCCTGGAAACAAACAGTAAATCATAGTAAAGAGTGGGAGTCCGAGGTCTATATGATGTAAAGTTATCGAGGATACACTTAAAATGTTTACATAAGGAGTTGCTTCTTACTATACGGCCGATGGAAAGCAGCAAGTTGGCTTGTCCATTCGGAAAAGTCTAGAGGTTGTTTCACTGGTATTTGGATAACATGCAGGGAGTTTGTTGGATTTATTATTATTATTATTATTTTGACATCTTTGATAGCCTTTGATTAAAAGGAATTTTGTTGGAAGAACTCAGTCAATCTGACACTTACAAACCAATAAATGCTATAGCCTATTTTTGTCAGATATCAAACTTAGGCTATTGATTCCTTGGTTTAGGTAATTTTGAATGGAAATGCGGAAAGGTGACATTTTATGATAAACTTTCATGCTTACTTCCCATTTAAAGCTGAGCGAGGATTTCTTGCTTTATTATATCACATTTTTGAATTGAGATAATTCTGCATACTTGAGTACGTGCTCAGATCAGACTCTGATGCACTGACAACCATATCTTATTTGTGCAATGCGGACTGCTAAGAGTCCTTTGTTATCAAAGTAGATTCGGCTTATGTAGTGTTCTTTCTTTGCCACACACACACAAAAAAAAAAACTCTTTAATCTAATAGGGAATAAATGCTTTATAATTCCTGGTGAGTCATTTTTTAGTACATTTCGCAAAACCTAAAAGCATCTACCTTAATTCTTAGAAGGTTTTTCTTTACATGGAGAATGAACCATCTAAGCAGACATTGAACTGGATTCACTCCTTTATTTTTAATTCGATTTATGAGATGTTTTTCTTAACGTGGAAAATGACCTGCATATTGGATTCTGTCATTATAAAATATTACATTATTCAGTCAACACTGATATATCATTTCAGTCGATATGTTTAAAACCTTAGCAGGTTTCCTATCATTATAAGGAGATCATTTTGTAATTCAATCTATATACTTAAAAGGAACCATCAATTAAACTGAAATTTCTTTTTATCTTTTATAGGATTGGCGATGAACAGGACCCAGAGGATGTAGAAGATGGTCCACCGGAACTTTTGTTCATACACGGCGGTCACACTACCAAGATATCCGATTTTTCTTGGAACCCTTACGATGAGTGGGTGATTGCTAGCGTCGCTGATGATAACATACTTCAAGTATGGCAGATGGCTGAGAATCTTTACTACAGTCACGGTGATAAACTACCACCTGATGAACCTTCATCACCTAGAACACCCACTTAAACTATCAAGTTTCTGCAGATGTTTGTATAGCGACCTGCAAATATCATGTACATTTTTCTGTTTCTCACACGCACATACACACATTTAGCTTCGCCCAGCACAGCAGTGATCCTGTTTGGGTCTCATTATGTGATTTTGTTTTGGAAAGATCACACGAAATCACTTCTCGTATAAAGAGTAGGTATACAATACGCACGCGATTCTATTCTTTTCTTTAGATGTACATGTACATGTTGTTGTAGTGAATTCTAAAGCAATGAACAGATCGGCGGTACATTCTTTCTCTAATGTGCATTCGTGTGCGTTTAGCTGAGCCTGTGTCATAATTGTGCTTATGTTTGTCACTCACATACACTTCATGTACGCTTCATAATTCATCACTGATGTCGAGATTACAAACATCATATTTTGTCGTTACCACTATATGATACAGACTTTGTCACGCCCCTGGCTCGTTGGCGCGTGCAAACCGTGGGACCCACCGAGTATAACGCACTGTTTTGACTCAACCTGCTGCCAAAATCGACTAACCGATATTATACTTGAGTCTTTAGCTTTCACTGTATAAACCCTTTAATTTCTCATTCTCCCACCGATGCGGGACTAAATTTTTTTGCAAATGTCGCTATCGTTGTCGCTATCAGTGGGATGTCACAGACTTGCCTAGCGATCTGTCAAATCCATCTTATTGTTTTTCATATTGTACACAAGCGTGCTCTTTTGTTTTCTGTTTTCCTTTGGCGACACTTGCTGGATGACATTCTCACGATACTCGAATTGTTCTCTTTTGGTGGTGGCTTACTCAGCCCTCGGATTCGAGGTGTGTTTAATCGTGGATCTTGACAGAGATTTATGTAACGGGCTTTTTGGTTTCATCTTGTATATTGGAGGTTGTAATCGTGATTATTGAAAAATTCTTTTATTTAAGCAATGGAGGTGTAAGATTTAGATTTTTCATAATTAGTGATAAGATGTTATGGGTAATAGGTTAACTATTTTTATAATGTTGAGTGTGTTGATAATAGTGTATTGTAGTGGGTTTTAGTCCCACATTTGTTGTGAGAACACACCTTACCCTCATCTACTTGTATAAATATATGTGTACACTCAATATTCAACTTAAGGGAAATTTATTCAACTTCAAGACTCTCTCTCTCTTACTTTAACATAGTATCAGAGCTACAGTTATTATTATTTCCCTTCCAATAAAAATTTTTAACGCTTCTGCGTTTTTTTTCCAAATCTTGGCCTTGCTGCTTTGTAGTCGTTTAACACTTTTTTACGTTCCTCTGCCAGATTTTTGGTCTTGCCGCTTTGCGGCCTCTTAACGTGTTTCTCATTCTCGTATTCAAGATCGTTTCTCGGTCTCAATTAACGGCATCGTCGTTTCAAGCCGTCTCTCGGCCTCAAACAAACGGCATTGTCGTTTCACAGTCAGTAACAATATCGCTATTTCAATCCATCTTGACGTCTCAACGTCTTAACATCGACATTAATCCGTTGTAGGTCTTCGGCGTGAGCATTAGATCCGACCAATCTTTGGGCCACCTTGGTCGCTGGTTGCTTTTTTTTCTCAGATTTGACAGTCATGTATAACCTTCGGGTTCAAATTTAACCTTCGGGTTCTTCCATTTTAACCTTCGGATTCTTACATTTTAACCATCGTGTTTCTACATTAACCTTCGGGTTCTTATATTTTAACCTTTGGGTTTCTACATTAACCTTCGGGTTCTCCTTTAAACATTCAGGTTTCGTTCAAGGATTATTATCTTGAACTTTGAATTGCTACTATTATGGCCTCTTCACTAGCACCTGCTTCTCAGACTCGGTCTAAGTTCTTTTGCACCTATTGCAAGAAGGAGAGACACCGCTTTGAGACATGTTTCCAGCTCCATCCCGAGTTACGTTCCTCAGGAACTGGTCGTAGTCAGCGATCCCTTCAGTCCTGATCCTCTAGTGCACCATGATTACCGGTCAATGTTATGCCATCTACCACTTTAGACCCTACCATTCAAGCTATCGCATATATTAGTCGTCAAATTGCGGCTCTTCAGCTACCACCTCTCCATCTGCTGCAAAAACTCTATGATATTCGCCGTCAAATTGAGGCTCTTCAAGCTATTGCAAATATTAGCCGTCAAATTACTGCTCTTCAACATACTATCTCTCCATCTGCTGCACAACTCTCTAATATTCGCCATCAAGTTGATACTCTTCAGCATAGAGCCTCTACATCTACTGCACAACTCTCTGGTATGCAGCTTGTTGGTTCCTCAGCCAACCCTTCGGTCTCTGATATGATTGATCTCTGGATTTTTGACTCTGACTGTTCCTTTCATATGACTCGTAATCCCTCCCTCTTATCTTCTGTCTCCACTTCCTCTTCTCTTCCCCCTATCTACAAGGCTGATGGACAACATTTATCTGTCACTCAGTATGGCTCTATGACCCCACAAACTGACCCATCTGGTCGTCTAATTCTTAGCCCTGCCTATGTGGATCCTCAGTTGTACTTGAATTTAATTTCTGTTAGCTCCTTATGTATGGATGTCCTAATTGTCTCATTTTCTTCTGATACTTGTATTATGCAGGATCCACAGATAGGAAAGACTGTTGGGGCCGGTCAGAGGAGACACAAACTGTATTTTTTGGAATATCTTCACCTTCCAGAGTCCATACGTCCATGTTCTCTTGTTGCTTCTGTAAGTCCAAAATCTTCTACCATGCTTTCCGCAGATTTGTGACATAGATGACTTGGTCATGTGTCTCATAAAAGGCTGAAAACTCTTATCCAGTCCGGAGTACTTGGTCTCGTATCCTCTCGTTCTCATATTGAATCATGTACTGATTGTAAATTAGCTAAATTCACTGCTCTACTGTTTCTAACCAGTACATCTGTTTCCACTTCCTTATTTGATTTGGTCCATTCTGATATCTGGGGGTTGTTTGTTGGAAAAATTGCAATGAAGAGAATAAAGAAAATTGACTTATATTCCTTTGATTCCGATTACAATTTGATTACAAAAGAGAAGAGAACGAATTTGATTCTCTCCTTTGTTTAAAACTGGGTTCTTCTTGGTAGCGATGAAATGCCTCCTTCGATTGCTCGCGTCGAATTTGCTCTCCGTTGATGATCCGACCGTCTTTTATCTCGTGGGAACGATAAACTTCTGTGGAAAGTTTGATGGGTAACTCTGAATGAGTTTAAGAACTCTGAACGAGTTAGAACTCTGTGAATAGAGTTGTTAGAACCGAAAATTCGGTTAATGACCAAGCTGATATTCTGTTGTTGAAGAATCTTTTCAGATTTGATCTTCTGAACTTGATTCAAAAATCCTATCTCCAAGGATTTTACTGCTGCTGCTGTTGAATCACCAAACCCGGATGGTTGAGATCCTCCTGATCGACCCTGTTGCCTCCTCTTCTGTTCCAGCCAACCGGTTTTGAACTGAAAAATCTCCAACCCTGTGCGATTAAGATCTTCCAAATCCCCCCCTCTACTTCGTTGGGTTTGTTGAGCTTTTATAGGGGGATCAGATGTTGTAACTGCCCTCTAAATCCGCTCCTAAGTGGGCGTGATTTCCTCAGATCGTGGGAAAATAGTTCTGAAACCGTTCGACTCATGTTTGAACGAGTCAAACGCCCAATCTGGCGTTCAGAACCCAACTTCGCCTCTTAGAGTTGAGACGCGAGGTTGGGTGTTGGCTGAACATCGATGAACGCGAGGGTCGCTCACGTTTTGGCTTTTTGCCTGTTGGAAACGCGGGGGTCGGTGTTGGTTGAACCCCTACGAACGCGAGGGTCGCTCACGTTTGGCTTGTAGCTTGGAAACACGGGGGTCGCCTGCATTTCCAGAATTATGACGCGGGGATGACTTCCGCGTTTTAGAAGGAGCTAATTGACTTATAACTTCTTCTGTAAAGCGTTGCAAGGACCGTTGTTCAGTAATCGTAGCTTTAGCTGTTGTGGAGTGTGAAAGTCGTCAGATTGTAACTTTCACTCTAGATTATGAAGACTGCTGAATAGAGTTTCCATCAGTTGTCAGAAGTGTCGTTGATTTGTAACTCTTCTAGATCTATGTGAAAAGTCCTCCATTTGCAGTTTTCGCTTGTCGACACGAAAACTATTTGATTGTAGCTTTCATTGTTAAAACTTGACGGGAATCAAACATCCATAGTGATTCTTAGACGAATATTTGCCCACAGCTCTCTACCAAGCAACTCACCAACTAAGTCTAATCTTTTATTTCTAAAATCATTACACTGCTCATCAGCATATCTAATAGTTGCTAATATAATATTAGTCATGCTGTTGTCGCAGCCATCAAGATCAATCATCTCAGAAATGAGGCCGTGTTTATAGCGGTTGTAGAGTTGCAGATACAACGATTAGAAAGTCGTTTGATTGTAACTTCCATTGTCGGGGCTTATTTGGATCAGCTATCCATTGTGATTTTTAGACAGCCTACAGGGATCAGCTCCTCTGCCTTCTTCATCTGGCTACTTATGTTATGTTAGTTTTATTGATGATTTCTCTTGTTATACATGGGTTTAACTACTTAAAAATTGCTCTGACATACTTGCTGCTTATCAATCATTCACTGCGATGATCTTCACTCAATGTCAAACTCGTATTAAAGTTTTTCGTTCTGACTGTACCAAAGAGTACCTATCCTCTACCATGCGCTCTATCATGTCCTCTCATGGGACTATCTTTCAACAGTCATGTCCCTACACTCATGAGCAAAATGGTATTGCTGAACGCAAACATTATCATATTCTCGATACCGCTCGATCCATTCTCATTTCTTACTATGTTCCTCATCGTTTCTGAGCTGAGGCCATTCTCACTGCTACTCATGCCATTAATATCACTCTATTTAGCTCTCTTTCTAGTGCTACTCCTCATAGTCGTGTTTATACTCATCCTCCACGTTATGATCTGGTCCGTGTTTTTGGTTGTCACTGTTTTGTTTTTCTGCCATCTCACGAACGTGATAAATTGTCTCCCAGAGCTGTTCTCTGTGTCTATTTAGGAATTAGTTCAGAACATCGAGGTTATCGTTATTATGATCCCGCATCTCGTCGAGTTTATATATCTCGACATGTTTAGTTCGAAGAGGATTCTTCATTTTATTCTGCTTCTGATGATTTCAATTTCCTCCACACTACTGATCATTCTTCTCCGCTAGCTACATCACCCACTTTCTTACCTCAGTTCTCCTTTCGAGATCTCCCTGAAATCTCTCCATCTCTTTTTGTTGACTCTCCCCACCCGAGCCTTCTCTTCCACCATTTGATCCATATTCCATAGACACGACACCCACTCTAAAAAAATACCGTTGACCTCCATGTACCTGCACCAACATCTCCCCCGCCTGAGGTTCCTCTTGCTCTTTGTCGAGGCAAATGCCCAGATATCATGCTTGCATGGTATGTTTCGATTACGTCCTATTCATCTATCTTTTATAATTTTCTTGCTGTCATTCATACTACAATTAAGCCAAAGTCCTTTCAAGAGGCCGTTCAATTTCCAAAGTGGTGACAGATTATGGTTGAGAAATTTTAGGCCCTTTAGAAAACACATACCTGGGATGTTGTTCAATGTCCCCATGGCATCTCTTTAGTTGGCAGTAAATGGGTTTATAAGGTTAAGTATCGTCCTGATGGCACCATTGAATGTTGGAAAGCTCGTTTAGTGGCTCGAGGTTTTACTCAGGAATAAGATATTGACTATGAGGAGACATTTGCTCCTGTTGTTCAGATGCCCACCGTTCGTACTCTTCTTGTAGGCGCTGCTGCTCATCGTTGGCCCTTATACCAGATGGATGTTAAAAATACTTTTCTCCATGGCTTTTTATCTGAGACATATATATGCAACTGCCTCCAAAGATCCAATATTCCTACGGGACATGTATGTCTCCTTCGCCGTGTTGTTTATGGTCTCAAGCAGACACCTCACGCTTGGTTTGAGAGTTTTCGCGGTGCCGTGCTCAAGGCGGGCTTTATCGAAAGTCATCAAGATGCTTCTCTGTTTGTTCAAACTACATCGCGTGTCAGAGTTTTATTACTTATCTATGTATATGATATGATCATTACAGGTGACGATGTGGCTGATATACAGTACACAAAATCTTAATTACAACAACAGTTTCACATGAAGGATCTTGGATCTCTTCGGTATTTTCTTGGTCTAGAAATTTCTCAAGACCTGTAGGGTGTACTACTGTCTTACCATAGGCTTGGACAAGAGGAGAATGAATGACAACAAATGAGAGATTTCTATGTTTAGAACTAAAAATATGAAAAAAAGGCTATAAGTTTTTTTTAATAATTTAAGAAGTATTTTGGTCTATCTAATTCACATGAATTGCAATGACGATGTTAACTTTAGGGGTTTCTACAAAATTTATTGGTGGTTTACCACAAAATACTGAAATTCTAGGGGTCTGGTGTAATTTACCCTAAAATTATACTCTTAGTTCATTTCGTATTCGATTAACATCTGCCCATGTTTGAATCCATATACACATTGAAGACATGATTAAGATAACTACTATAATAGATTCATCTATATATAATAATTCGATGGGCCAAATAAGACTAAAATATTAGATTGGCCTAAATAGTGACACATGTGATAATTTGACCTAAAAAGTGACAAGTCGACGACAGATAGATTTTTCTGATTGTCGAAGCAATTTTTTGACAAAAAATTAAAGAAATTGTATATATAGATCACTTAATATCTCATGATTTTTAAATTAACTCATCTCCTTTCCCTAAATTTCTGAAATTTGTAAAAAAAAAACTCTCTTTTTTTCCCACTATCTTCTCTTCCTCCTCCTTCCCACCATCTTCTCCATTCCCTTATTCTTCCTATACCCTAACCTTCCCTCCTTTCTCACTCCCTCTCCCACCATCTTCTTCATTCCCTTATTCTTTATATACCCTAACCTTCCCTCCTTTCCCACTCCCTCTCCTACCTTATTTCATGGATCATCCACTTACTCCTAAATTCCTTCATCTCCTCCAATCTCTTATACTCCAAATGCCCAACATCTCCTCCTCTCTCACGTTCTCTCTTCCTTCTTCTCCTCTTCCTTTCTCTCACTCTCTCTTCCTATTTGCTTCACCCACTCCCAACACCCAAAATTAGTCATTTTACCACAAACTTAACCTCATTCTTCTCTTCTTTTCTTGCACTCTCTCTTCCTCCTTGCTTCCTACTCCTCTTTCATCCTCCAATCGTTAAAAAATCAATCGTTGAAAAAAAGGAGAGAGAATGGTGACGATTGAGAAAATAAAAGAATGAAAGAGAAGACAAGAAGTATGAGTGAAATTATGGTGGGAAGGGAGCGAGAGAGGAGTTTTTTTTACAAATTTTGAAACTTAAGGGGTTAAATTAAAAAATAAGAGAAATTTGAAGGGTATATATAAAAATCTCTTAATTTTCTTACTTGAAAATTGTTTTTGGTGACCGGAAAGGTTTATTTATCGCCGATTTGTTAGTTTTTAGTTCAAATTATCACTAGTGTTGCTTTTTAGACCAAAGTGGTGAGAGGCGATACTGTTTAGACCAATTAGGTATTTTAGCCGGCCAAATAATGTGATTGGATCAACGCCACAACAAATGGGTCCAACTATTCACACTCCCAAACAGTAACTTTGGGGGTGTGTGAGGACTAAATTGCCATTCTCCCAAACCAAACCAGACCAAGTCCATTCCAGAAACACCCTCAACATCAAAAGGGCATTTTCGGCAATCCAACTCCTAAAATTACTGTTTGGGAGTGGATATAGCAAACATGCCTAAAAGTGGTCCGATATTACTAAACTACCCTCTCCCGCCCCTTTAAATAGAAAAAAAAAACCCAAACGCTCTTTTCCCTCCATTTTTTTCTCCAAAGCCCTAAATCCCAGCCCCAGACCCTAGCGATCTCCATGGCCGTCGACGGCAAAGAGTCGAAGGCCGAGGCCGAGTATCGCCGGATTCAGAACGAGTACAAGATCTGGAGGAGGAACGCGCCGTTCCTCTACGATCTCGTCATCACCCACGCCATGGAGGGACCGTCGCTAACGGTGCAGTGGCTGCCGGAGCTGGAGGAGATCGCCGGAAAAGACTACTCCGTTCAGAATATCATCGTCGGGACCAACACCGACGACGGAAATCCCGACTACCTCACCATCGCTCGGGTCCTGCTCCCGATCGACGGCGCCGGTTACGATCGCGGCGAGGTCGGAGCGTTCGCGGGCGACTGCAACAAGGTATGCGAAGTCTATGGTTTTTTTCGTCATTTAATTCAAGTATGAGACCGCTCTAGGGATAGTTCTTGGTTGAGGATCAGAGATTTTCTTGAACAACCTGAGCACGGCGCATAAATTACGCTAAACCCTCAAGAACGTTCAACGTTTTGCGGTAAACCCCCAGTAGTTTTCCAAATCGCACTTAACCCCCAACCCGTAAATTAGAACCAAGGAATTTCATGAAAACACATTTTTAAAGTTATCGGGGTTTTAATGTAATTTAGACAATATTGGGGTTTTCTGCAAATGTTATTGGGGGTTTAGTGGGGTTTTGAAAAGTTTCCGTATGTTGCAAAACGATGAAGGTTATTGGGGGTTTAGTGTAATCTACCCAATTTATTAAATTTTGAGTAGACGTGAAATTCAGGGTTTTCATTTGCCTAAAGAGTGCTACGATCATCAAATTCAAGGACGAGAGTCTCTGTTGACAAGGGTCTTGGTTGGGGATCAGAGATTTTCTTGAATAAACTTATTTATTATTATTATTATTATTTTGTTGGATTTTTCTTTAACTGTTAAATTCATTGTTTTCATTTGCCTAAAGAGTGCTACGATCATCAAATTCAAGGACGAGAGTCTCTGTTGACAAGGGTCTTGGTTGGGGATCAGAGATTTTCTTGAATAAACTTATTTATTATTATTATTATTATTTTGTTGGATTTTTCTTTAACT